ATATCAATTTTTCCTTGAAGCTGTCTTTTCGGTTTGTCTCTTCCTTCGGCTCTTTTATGTTGCATAGTAGTTGGTCTGGGTCTTCATTATTCCTTGCTTTCTGTTCAGTCATGCATTTCATCAAAGCACACTCTTCTTTTCAAACCTGTAAAATGGTAAAATGGGTTAATTAAGTACATATGTTACAGTGTGGGCCTGTCACGACTCAAAGTTTGTTAGTTTAAGCATTAATTCACCCCGTCAAATGAACCATCACTCAACTATTCTTGAACTCACAACAAATGCATCACAAACACATTTAATAGCATTGTCCAATTCTAATAAAAATATATATATCATCGTATAATGTATGATAACCTTTTAATGACATTAAAAAACATCTCGGGATGGGACTAATAAAGTCACAGAACAACTCCAAAATCAGGGGAGGATGCATGCTTACCGAAACGGTGTCACGCGACACCGCTTCGTCGGAAAATTTTACTAAATATATGTATTAATATTGTACGAAAATGGGTAAGTAGGAAAAAATGACACCACTTGACATAAATTGTGTCTTGGTGTGTTGGTTATGTACTTTATTTTGTTATAAGAGGTCAAAGGTTTCAAACCTCAAGTAGCACATTTTTCTTATGCATATATTTGAGAGAGCCTTTGTGGTTAAAAATTGTGATGAATTAGAATTGAACTCAGGACCTTTTGTAACTTAAGATTCAACAAAAACAATAAACTAAGGTTATTTCTTGTCTAAGAGTATGGTAATCAAAGTTATATTTCAATTCTTCTATATATTTCGATACCGCTTACAAAAATTCCTGCGTACGCCCCTATCCAGAATAATGTCTCAACATACTAATGTGAAGATGATTACCCGTGGGCCTAATTGATTCATAATTGGAGAGGTCATCTAGCATGTCTATTATGGGCTGAAGAGCTCACAGCCCACACTCCCAGAAAGTCACAATGGCCCAATTCCTTTTAATATCATATGAGCTAAGCCCACTAACAACCCCAATTCTGATAGAAGAATTAACCCAAATAGCCACTCATCTAATCTCTTAAATTAAAAATAGCATGCGAATGTATAATATATATCTAATTTATGTATAATTTATGTATAGCTATGTATAATCTATGTTTACTAGCTAAAAAAATGAAATAAACCGGCCATTTGTGTAACAATCCCATTCTGATACATGCTATATTTGGAATTTAATTCCATAAGGCATTAACCACACGCCCTAGCATAGTCTTTCCCGCTGGAACATTCATAATAAATCTAGTGCGCTTGACACAATCGTCTTCTTCAATAGCAGTATCACCAAAGATAACAATCCATATATTCTTATTCTCAAGATTCAAGGTTATTCCTTTCACATCGCTCGACAGCTTTTTGAAGTTGAGGTTCATGCTTTCATGGGATAAGAATGAGATCACGATCATAAGTTATCACCAGGCTCGAGGAGAATAACATTATAAGGAAGATTAAGAAGAGATTTAAAGAGAAGTATGATATGTTATTCAATTAATTAAGGCTCAATGTTGTATTGGCTACTTACACCTTGTTTGGATAGTTGTTATATGTAGTATTGTATCAATTTGTTACTTTAAAATAATATTTGTTTTGATAGTTACTTAAATTATATTATATCGTATCATTAAATCTGTCACCTTATGGAACGATCGATTTGGTGTGGTCATATCGTAACCTTATTTTTTTCTCATCTTGCCTTTTTTTATTATTAAATAATCTTATTTTATCCTTTACCCCACCTTTTAATATAATAATGCTACCTCATACCTTACTTTTTCTTTATAATCCAAGTTTATTCTTCATATTGTTGGTGCATGACATCATAAAACGACGGCAAATATTACAATTTATTCAAATATTATATGTATCAAAACAATACAAGACAATACAATACAATATTATATTATACATCATGAAATAATACATAACAATCTTCCAAACAAACCGTTGAAGTTCCGTATCTGTCCTCGATAAAAGTTATGACGAACCTAGCAAAAGGAAGAACTCTAGTATTTCTCGTGCACAACTAACATATAATGGAACCAAAAATATAGTTTATTGCTAGAAATTGTTCTAGCTTTTTTTTTTTCTAATTTAGACTTGTGAAGCAAAGAAAATACTCTTTCTTAGTTTCGTTCTCAAATTGAATATTTGTCATGTCAAGTTTCGTTTTCTGTTGATGTAGGCAGGGTGGATCTACAGTAACGGGTATGTCCCAGGAACCCAATAACTTTTACCCGAATTTCGTATTTATATTGAGAAATCTATTAAATATATAAGTATTTTTAATTTGGAACCAATAAGCAAAATCAGATATTGGTCCAGTGACAAACGGAGGAACCAGCTTAAGCTATGTTCCTGAATATCTTGCGGGGGTTCGAATCTCATTGTACATTTCTTAACGTCACTTTTGTTTTATTCACCAAACAGTAACCATAGTGACTTTTTGTTGAAAGTATCACTTTTATCCAAATGCTAAGAACTCATAAAGTTCAAATCCTATATCCGCCTATAGGGCTTAGCAGGAAGGACAACACATTGTTGAACACAATTGGGATGGTAGTTTCCTTCTCAAGATTTCAGAAATTTATTTTTTAAAAGTTAATTTTTTTTACCTTTAGGATCTGTTTGGAAAGTCACCCCATAATTGAAATTGGTGTAATTACTAGGGTAGTAATTACACAACTTAGTAATTACAACGACATGTTTGTTTGTCGTAACGTAATTACATTGCAATTACAAGCGTGTTGTTTGGTTACGCAAGTGTAATTACACAGTTAGATTAAATTTTAAATGAAGTAATTCTCAAAACTTAAAAGTTAATGTAATAAATATATGCCTATAAATAATTTTTTATAAGTACAAATAATATTAGATTTTATATTTAAGATGCATATTTTTTCTTGAATATACACTAATTAGTAATCATATATTTATAACTAATATTGTAAAAATAATTGATATATAATTTTTAAATTAATAATATTTAGTTTAATTAATTATAAAAACTAAAAACATACGTTTTGTAAGAACATCATGGAATGCATGTTTGATAAAATAAATTAATATTTATAAATATAATGTCATAACATTATGCAAATGTTTGACAAAACTAATATATCAATTCTAACTAAAAAACGAACAATATGCAATGTGAAATAACAAGTCAATACTACTAAAATAAGTAAATTGAAACCATAAATATAATACAATTTCAAAATTCCACAACAAAAACACTTTAACATGTGTCAAATTCCAACATAATAAAAATAAGTGCCAATATAACTTAAGAATAGGAAACATAATAAGTTTATAACTCATTCAATAACGAAATTACTTTAATGACATCACTCATTATATGCCATATTTGTTAATGATCCATTATTTCTAATATTAGGAGGTGTAGTCTTAAAAACTAGAATAATAACGGAGTTACGCAAAATGAAGAAAATAAAACAAATAAGATATAAAATATACGATCAATTACATGGAATCACAAGAAGTAAACGTAGAGAAATAAAAGATAAATAATATACAAAGATAATATATTGTAAATTAAAAAAGAAATTAAAAGGTAAAAATAAAATTAAAAAAATAATTTAAAATAATGCAAATAAAAAATTATAAAGAAAATAAATATAAATAAAAAAGAAATAAATTAAAAAGTAACCCTGTAATTACATAGTATAATTATCACAAATTCTCATCTCCCCTAGAGAATTGGAGATTGTAATTATACCTCTCCAATTACACTCAATTCCATGTTAATCAGGTAATTACTTTACGAGACAAACATGTCAAAATATATAATTACGTCCAAATCCGATTTCTAGGTAGCTTTCCAAAGAAAAAGAAAAAGAAAGAAAAAAAAGAGTCCGCAACTTATTGGATATTTTAGTGTAAATATTACTCAAAACTTTGAAAGGATTAAAGTGAAATTAAGGCAACTATAGTTGCTTATAAAATATTTACAGAGATCTAAACTGAGGAAAAGCCAAAAACCATATATGATCTTTGGCTTTAGACTCAAAGTCATACATATTCTTTCACATGGAGCACTAATAATACATTTACTTTAACAAAGTGGTGCACTTTTAATCATAATACTGAGAAAAAGCCCAAAAACATATATTATCTTTGGCTTTAAACTCAAAGTCATACATATTCTTCCACATGGAGCACTAATAATCCATTTACTTTAACAAAGCGGTGCACTTTTAGTCATAACACTAAACACATTTTAATTTTTAACAGAAATCTAAGATCTGATAAAATATTTGTTCCCTTTATTTTCTTGTTTATCGAAAGAAATAAAGATGACAGATTTATCTAGATAGCAAATAGTAAATATACATAGAATTTATATACTATTTATTTATTTACTATAAGTAAAATATATATTTTACTAAAAAATATTAAACACCGTTAATTTTTATTTGCGATGATTTTTATCTAAATAACCTCAAATGTTATCTAGATATTTTTATTACATACATAAAAAAAAATTTATTTTATGTATATTTACTATACGTTGACTCCCTTAAAATAAAAAAATCTAATAAATATATATTTATTTTATGTCAACGTATAGTAAATATTATGTATATAATAAAAAATCTAGATAACATTTGAGGTTATTTAGATAAAAATCATTGCAAATAAAAAATAACGGTGTTTAATATTTTTTAGTAAAATGTATATTTTACGTACAGTAAGTAGATAAATAGTAAATAAATTTTATGTATATTTACTATTTGCTATCTAGATAAATCTCTCATCTTTATTTCTTTCGGTAAACAGAAAAATAAAGGGAATATATATTTTATCACATCTTAGATTTCTGTTAAAAATTAAAATGTGTTTAGTGTTATGACTAAAAGTGCACTACTTTATTATGTTTTTGGGCTTTTTCTCAACGAAAAAATATATATTATTTTGAGTCAAAGGCAAGGATTATGGTTTTGGCTTTTCCTCGCCTAAACTTGATCACTCTCAGCATCCTTTTTTCTTCATCTTTTTATTATGATATGATTCTGTGATAGAGTTTCTATCTGAAACCCAGCAACCTTAACTTACCCATAGAGGAAATTACTAAACGAACAAAGCTCATAATCATTCATCTAGTGAAGCTGTCTTTTCCGATCTGATCGACAGTTCGTTTTGATCTCTCAGATGCTATTCTCTTAAATTCCTCTACGGAGTGAGTTCTTTCCCTCATTTTGCCCTGATTTGAAGGTGTTTTCCTGTTGATAATTATCATTCAATTCAATTGGATGCTGCTAGACAATCCCAATTTACTTGCAATGTGCTGGAACTATAATTTCATGGCTCCACTGATTTATTGACTCAAATTTGTTTCTTGGGTATGCTTAAATTATCTCCCTTTATCATCCCATAAGCTGGATTCAATCTATGAAGTTAAACTATTCATTTGGGTTTAGTAGTCCCAAATCTTACAAGGCATATCCAAGGGGCGATTTTGACTTGGAATCTGGGACCCTTAAAAGATCAAGAAAGGTAAAAAGTTCAAATTTTTACCCCATCAAGATGCTTAAATCATTGGGAAAACGAATTCATAGTTATTACAAGCTTCACCCAGCTATGTTGTTTATGATATCCTTGTCAATTGGGGTCATTATTCTCATTGTATTGTCTGTTTCTGAAAGCCGATTTCGGTTGAGGGGTAATTATGCAAGATTTGATAAGGGTGTAGATGCTGCATATCCATTCTCGAAGTTTAGGAATCTTGTTATGGTTGCTGGACATTCAGTTTATACAAGTAGTAGTTGTGAGAAAGTTGACAAGGAGGATTCTTGGTTTTTAGAGTCTTATCAAAAGCACCCTGGTCAAGCTGCAACCTTTGTGCAACATATACAGAAGGGGGTTGAAATTACAGCAGATGACGATGATGCATTGCTCCTCTTCAGTGGTGGAGAGACGAGGAAAGATGCTGGGCCGCGTAGTGAAGCTCAAAGTTACTGGACTGTTGCTGAATCTAAAGGGTGGTTTGGTGAGTTCTTGTGTTTCCCTGGATTCTGGTTAGTAGCCCACATACTTCATATCGAACCGAAAATGTATAAGATTATCGTTTCTGTGCAGTGCCAGCTCTAGGGGAAGGCCACTAAAGCAATTGCTTTAGGCCCCCCCAAATTGAATTTTATGACTATTATTTATATTTAGTATTACATATATCGTAAAATTATTTTTATTATTATTATGAAAAAGAAACTAAATTTATGTTTTCTTGGAATGTGATAGAAGTTATTTTGATAAATACTGAATTTTCTAATAAAAATGTATTATATAATAAAGAACAATTTGATGACGTTATTGACAATTAAAAAGATAAAATAAAAGTCTCTTGTAGTATTTTTTAAAGTTAATATTTCTTACAAAGAGTGAATCAACAGCTGTTTCAATTCAAAATAGACTTGAACTATTCCAAATACCTAATTATATTTTAACATATAATACTTAACAAAGTGATATCATTACATGATAAAAACTTATAAAACATTATCTTGACCATGGATGTTAATAATATCGAAGCTTTGATGTGTAGAGTTATCAGATATCCAGTGCATAGTCAAAATACGTACAAGATGGTCTATACACCACCTTAACAACAAGAAGAAAAACATGTAAAATTTTATTTATAAAAATTAAAGGCCTTTTCTTAAGGTTTGGCTTTAGGCCACCAATTCTGTTGAGTCGCCTCTGTTTCTGTGTATAGAAAGCTAAATTGACTAGAGCAGATAAACCAACTGAAGAGCTATGGTCCTCTGTTCCTTTGCAAAAGTTCGACTGTGTTATAATATTTTTAGTCTTCCAAACCCTTTTATTATACTTCATTGTTGAAATACGCTGAGATATCTGAAGCATGTGGAATATCTAAGGTTAGTTTCAATTTTTCATATCTCAGGTTAATTTCAATTTGTAATATGAACTACCATCTGACACGTACCTCTCACACATTTCGTGTGGCTCTTAATATGTTTGAGATTTGGTTATATGTTATCCACTAGAACAATCATTTCATTTTTTCAGATATCACCATGATAGCGCGTCTAGCTTGCGGAAGGTTCATCCTCCCGATATATAGTTTTAAGACCTAAGTCGCGATTACTCATTTTTCTGACATTCCAATGGCTCTTCCCATTTTTAATAGTAAATGTGCCACTTCAAATGATTAGCACCCTTATGCAAATAATTTTCCGACCTTAGAAGCATTGACCAAAAGATTCACAAGTTCATAACCGTAGTTCGTTCCTAAAACTAAGAGTGGTGACAAGGCAAGAATTTAGTGATGTAACTCCATCAGATATGGTGATCCATGGCTGCGTTTTTGTTTAGTTAATTGGAGGTGGAGGTCAAAGCTAGATACTAAATTGGGCTATATTCATAAATTTTATGTTCCCATTATTCTGTTGGTCTTCGGAGCATCATTACTCGGTAGAAGTGTTTCTTTTCACTGGACTTGTGATTCATGTAATCCCATTTGTGGTGAAAGGTGGTATCCATGATGGAAAGCGATTGTCTTTTGTTAGATGAAGGGAGCTCTATGTTATGAGATAATCTGGATGTTTGAAATGCTTAATTTTTTATTCGTCAGACCGCTGCCATCTTTTCCCATTCAACAAGAGAACAAAAGCATTGAGTGTCATATCTAAGATTAATTTCAATTTGTCATATGAACTACCATCTGGTACATACCTCTCCTAATTGGTGGCCCTTAATATGCCTGATTTCTTTATATCTTGTTCATTAGAACTGGCTTTTCATTTTTCCATATATCACCAGGATAGCGCGTCCAGCTTGCAAATAGGTTCATTCTCCAGTTACACAGTTGTAAGATCTAAGTCCAATTGCTCAGTCATTTTATTGAAAGATTTTCACTGGATTTTCCCATTTCAAAAATAATTGTGCCTCTTCACATGATCGGCAATTTTTGGAACTGAGAAGCATTGACCAAATGATTCACAAATTCGTAAACTATAATCCATTCCTTCAACGAAATTATTAACGTCTCTCACTTCGTCTCTTTTATGTGGCCTCTAATTCATTTGTAATGATAAAATCTAGTATCATACATACATGACCATAATTTCTTTCCCGATACATGACCATAATAACGTTATTGCTGTTTGTCCACTTTGTATGCAGGCAAGCAAGAAAGTGTAAGAGGGAGGGCACTCACTGAAGAGCATGCAAGGGACAGTTTTGAGAATCTTCTCTTTAGTGTTTGTCGGTTCAGGGAGCTTACTGGCACATATCCACATAATATAACTGTAAGCCATTTATTACCTTCTATAGCTAAAACTCCAAATTTCATGTATAAAATATATAGAGGAATCCCAAGATTTTCATTATTGAACTGTTTAACAGTGGCGATGTCTGCAATCACAAATACCGATAATATGCATCAAAAATGAACTAAAGGCGATAGATTTAAGTAAGAAGATGCCTAGCTTTTGATCTGCACATTTAAAACAAACATGAAGAGATTTACATATGATGCCTTTGCATCAGAGTATTCCACATATGTGCTGAAGGCAGTGATCACTCCCTTGTTTTTTGCCCAATAACGTTCAGCACGTAGCAATCAAGGCAGTGTACCTCCATAAGCTGTTGCCAACTTTTCTGCTAAATAAACTTACAAACATAAATTCAAAGGATCCTAGTATTGTTGTTACTTGTTACAACTTTGTATTCTTTTCTTTTCAGCGTGATACCCCAAATAAAATTATGTCTAGTGGTAGAACCTATGGAGCTGTTTGTATTTTGTATACTACTGCCAAAAACATACTCCTGTGCAATGGAACTCAGGAGTTTGGACGTAACAAAAGAGACATGACCTTTTCCTTAGCCTATAATGAGAAGTTGAACATTCAAACATTGATGTGGTCATAGAAAGAACAAATTATTACCATGCCGGGGGGGGGTGTGTGTACAGGAGTAACCTTTGGGCTTTCCCGTTACCAGCACATAAGGAAACATCCAAATGAGGGTGATATAATAATCTCAACAGGCTTCCTTCTGCAGTACTAGGTCCAGGTATTATATAGCAAGAGCTCTGTCTCAAGAATCTAAAATAATGCCCTTTGTATCTATGAAAGACTTTTCAGACTCTTATATTAATCATGTAGTGGAAGATGTATTGGTGTATGCTCAATGAATTAGTAGTCTTGCTTATTGCTTTTTGTTATTGTATTCTCTATATCCGGTAATTTTTTAATCTCTTCTCAATTAAATTTTCACTTGGTTCCGATCTAACAACTCAAGTATTCATTTTAGCAGCTTTGAACGATATCTGTTGCACAAGCATTGAGAAAATTTATTTTTCCCATATCATCTTTATTCCATGTATTATTTATATTTTGGTGTATTTTAAAATTTGTGTGGCTACATGACTCTTCATTTTGTATGGTGTGGATTCATCACAAATTGGCTAGTTTTACATTGGTTGCCAGCCTATCACAAGTCTTCTTTATCTTGGCTTGCAACTGGCAATGTGAGCATAGATCACAGAGGCATATTCATATAGCCTATCCCAACTTGTTCGAGACTAAGGCATATTAGTTGTTTGTACATGCATCTTCATTTGTCTATGGTCTCCAAATTAAGTACTTAACATTTGATGGCTATGATCAGCAATTTCTTATTTTATGCATGTTTGCGTCTCTCTATTCGTATTTGTAGTGCCAATGCTTAGTGAGTTCTTATGCGATGAAAGAAGTAGCAAGCTCACATATGATGGCCATGATCACTTGATCAGCAATTCTTTAATTTTTTGCATGTCCGTCTCTCGATTTGTATTGTTAAGCGAGATGCTAAGTGAGTTCCTGTGCAAGGAAAGGAGTAACAAGGTCTTAATAATCTTGTTCAACTACTGTGCAGGTTGTAGGCTATGATTTCAAGGAGAAGAGATTTAAGCATCTGCATCGGTCTGCAATTGGATTTCCAGAAACAAGATTCTTTTATTCAGGGACATCATCTTCCCAAACTTCAAGGGAAGCAGCTTTGAAAGGAGAAGCACTGGTGAGAACACAGTTTCAAGAAGATCCTTACGGCTGTAAAGGTTCTCTTCGTCGCAAGAAACTTGGTCGTGATCCTTTTCATCGTTCAATCCCTTATCCTAATGGGTGTCCTGAAATTGAGGGTTTGTTCAGATATTGTGGAACAGGTCCATATTCAGGTTCCCTACCTTGGGCCTAATAGAATTTCACAGTTCTGAAAAATTAGAAGATAGCAATTAAAAGCCGATGTCATAAAATATAGGTAACTTCTTCTATTAATTCTTCCTATGTACTCTCCTTGTATTTGTTATATTGGAATAGCAAGCAACTAATGTAGAGAAATAAAACGGCAAGTTCAGTCTGGTTTAAAAGATGTTATAAATACTGTCGATTATTTAAAAGTGCAGATACTACCTGGTGTCACTTTACTCAGGTTAAGAAGCATGTATATAAGATACCTCCTCTACCGATATGTTGGTTCTTGTCATTGATTTCTGCTGCCAATGTTCTTGTGGGCTTGTTATTCAGTATTAGAAGACAATACTAATATTTCTACCAGAGGATCGTTGCGACCTGAATCATTCTGCTGGTAAAACTCTTAAAATGACTCATATACTTTAACATAACAAAATTCTTTCTTAGAGATCTTTGACAGTTTTTACAATTGCAATTGAGTTTGGTTTGACAATTGCCTTAGAGATTTTCATATCGAGGATGTGTAATTCTTAACCTCATTTTCTCTGATGAGCACTTTTTAGCTCTTGTAAAGCTCACCACCTTAAAATTTTGGATGCCCGGAAACCAATATGACATTTGAAAAGAGTTGTCTACAATTACTGTTTCATCAACTATACATAGTCCAAATGCCTGCTGATTAATTCACGAGGCAATAATCTTTATACAAGATCAGTACATGATTAGGTTCTGAATTGGTCTTGAGGTGAAAGCTGACAAGAAGATTATAATGATTTGAAATTTTAAATTTCCAAACGCAATTCTTTATTTAAAGTTACTTATGCGGACGTACGAAGTTAGATTTGAAGTCCACCAAAACAACCTCTCCAGATATCTTATATAGATCTGTAGAACAATTATTGAATTTTAGTTCAAACCTTCGATCTAATCGGAACCCAAATACAGCCTTCTTTATGTGGCAATTTGATAAAACTCTATTTTCTGCTAATCAATCCAGTGAACCTTGGTAAATGAACTGTTATATCATACAGTGCTAGAATTTGATACTTCCTCTGTTTTAATTTATGGAAATCTATAATCTCTCTACGCCTTCAGATAAGAGTAAGATCTGCACTGGATTCTTTCAAAAAGAAAAAGAAATCTTTACCCAAATAGACGATCATATATATTATTTAATTTTTCTAATTATATATATAAATTATACATTTATTATACATAAATATACATGATATATACAAAAATTATACATGTATTATATCTCCCACGGATATTTTTAATTTAAGTAAAAAGACATGAGTCTATTTGGGTTAATTCTTTAAAAAATAACCTCGTTTAAAATTTAAAATAATTTAACTTCAAATTCTACCCATAATTTTGAAAATAATTTAACTTAAATATCTAATTTTACCCATAATAAAAAACATGTATAGCCGTATGATATATGTCATACAAATATTCTAACTTGTTTAAAAGTTCAAATTTCAAAAGTTTAATTTTTTTTGTCCATACTCAATCAAACAAGTTCACATAGGAAATATGTTGTATTAATTATAAGATTACCACTTTTACTACTTTATTCCAAGATTATTACTCATTGTATAAATTATACTGAGATAACTAACCAAAAAAGGGATAATACTTAAATGATCATTTTTGTTTTATCCATTAAACCAAACGACCACTAACTTCGACATAATCATCACTGGTCTATCCAATGTAGTAGTACCAAAAAAACCATTATGCAACTGATCTTGCAACAGGAGGAGCATCAGGAAAGGGAGAAATGAATTGAAAGCCAGTGGTATTGGGGGAGTCGGGAAGATGCCTAATTCTTATATTTCCTTCGCAGGAAAAGTAAAGATGATATCTTCCCACGCCTCCCACCCCAACAGCTCCTCAAACTCCCTCCTCCTTTTCCAATTACTCCATATTTCCTTCTCATCGTCGTCTCTCTCAAGGGAGTAGAGGATATAACACAGCAAAATAAATCAGAAACCAGAGGCAAATGAATAATAAAAAATAATAGTAATAAGTATACAAGGAGCCATCAGAAACCAAAGTTCATCCCCAGAAGCTTTAGGCTGTGGTACGGTCCGCATCATGGTTCGATCTTTCGATCGCATCACGCGGCTCCTCCTTTGAAGGAAAAATTATTTATTGGTAAATCTTAAACATTTCCTATGAAAAATCCTCCACTGGGTGTTTAATAGTAGTAAAATCGAAAAGCATATATAAGAGCTCAGAAGCAAAATGGGTATGAGAAATTTATCATCACTCAAAAAATAAATTTTGTAAGAGTGGTGCATGACTATCTCCAGATCTCATCACAGCTCTTAAAATATGAATTTTGAAAAATTGTAGTGTGTTAATATTCAGCGAGAAACTGTAGGAAAGGAAGAAATGGTTGGAAGCCATGTGAATGGGCGGAGTAGGCAAGATGTCTCAATTTTTATGAAACATAAACATATGACATCTTGCCAAACATAAACATATGACATCTTGCCACCCCGCTCACACCAAAAGCTTCCCAAAATCCTCATCCCTTTCCACTGTGTGTGTGTAGATCTGTAATTGCTGATGCCCTTTTATATAGAATATGATAAGTAATAAATTTATAAAAGATGGTNCATCTTGTTCGCCTCGGTTCCCAATATTACAATATTAAAAAATGAAAAGTACATTCTAACACCACTTGTTTTACTTCATTACACTTAACTCCAATTACTTCTAACGGAGGTCCTACCATCAACTCGCGTCCAACTTTACTCTATTGAGCAACTGAATATAAAGACTTCAATTCAATTTCAAGTATTCAAATTTTTGTTCTAATAAAGTTTCTAAATTATTTGGAAGGGAAATGAAAAAGGAGAGCAATTGCAACATGAAAATACTTTTGTGGCCAAAATCATTTCTCAAAGAATATATCTTTGGAAAATCACTTTTGTATTTGATATCAGATCGTGAACACCATCATATTTACAAAAATTACCGCCTAATCAAGAAAAGACTGCTCACACTATATAGGCAAAAGGCTAATGTTGCTCATCCAGCTTTGGCATTCATGTTAAGAGTATCTCACATGAAGCTTGGGGCAATGTTGGGAATGTGGGATTGATAGAGGTATGCAGCGGAAGACAATAATAATTCTCGGCAGAATTTTTGGTGTTTAAAATTTATTTATATGTCAAAGATCGGATTTAAGAAGTACTTCGTGAATAGAGTCTCGTTTTAAAATTTCTTCGATAGTGCGAAAACTATATGTGTATCTACACCGAGACTGATCTTTGTTATCAACTCTTTGATTAATGAAACCCCGCGAACAAATTGAATGAAAATATTATGTTAAAATGTCTCTAAAAAATCTTAACTCAAAGATAAAAAAATAAGAAATAATTTTTTTATATTAGTATTTTCTATCTTGACTTTGTATTGCACTATTACTTTCTTGAAGTAATTTTCTTTCCAAGAATAATTCTCTTGGTTTATGCGTGACTTTACAATATGTATAAGATCTATATATCTTATTCTAAATTAGGACTCATATATATATATATATATATAGTTGGAAATTTCATAGACCACTCTATATGGAATCCAATTCCAATTGGAATTCTCATTTATGAACTTTCACATTCCTATTCCAATTCAAACTTGGATTTTAGTTTTAGAACTATTTTCCTATTAAAAAATTCAAATTCCATCCCAATAAATTGAACTTGCCGAACTCTTTAGGAATTCAATTCCTAATTGAACTTCACAATCAAGTCTTTAATAATAATATATATATATATATATATATATATATATATATATATATACACACACACACACACACACCACATCAATATTTTAACCAAGAGATATAATTTAAATTTCTATTTCAAATAGAAAACTTCAACTTGTCCAGAATATTAATTATATCCTCCATGCTAGCAAAGAATATAATAATATTTTATTTGAGTTAATAACTAAATTTATTTGACTAATTAAATTCTTTAATTTAATTATCAAATAATAAAGTAATTAGTTCTTTAGCAAAGATCAGAACACTCGTTAGTGTGCGACCCCATAGATTCATTACTAAGCTGGTAGTAAATTGATCACATTAATATACGAATCAAGGGTGGCGTCTAGCAATACTCCTTAATGACCGGATAGCATGAAGTATACAATTTACTCTCAATAACCCGTAGAAGAATAATGTATTAATTCCTTCTGTCCTTATAACTATGGGTCACCCTAGGATATGGTTCAACTGCCAAATCCTAATAGGCGACCAACTATATGTTCATGTCAAATATAATCGACAATTGACTGACCTAAGAGACTCTTTTCTTCTTTCATTCAATCGCCTTAGCCAGGGTCTTAGTTTGGTCGGTTATAATTTATGACAACATGGAGCTTAAACTCATTATCAAGAGTTGACATATTCCATCTTGATCAATCACTAATTCTATAAGTATTTAACTGTACCCAATATTCTTTCAACTATCGCCCTAGGGCCAAAGGTATCTAGTATCAAAAAATAATAAATAACTTGTCAATCACTATGATGATATCAGATCAAATGAAACTCTTACATCACATTTTTCTAGAAAATATCCTATTGACATCTTATGGTAATTCTAACAATTAGGAATTATTCAATGAATCGGTTCAATGATCATATCTCTATATTCATCATCTATTTATGTGATTTAGTTAATGAGATCAACTAATCTTTATTCTATTAAGACGATCATATAAATACTGATCTAACCGGATTACCAATGTCCAAATTAATAATCCTACGATCAAGAACAAAATTTAGATTAAATTATAAGAGACTTTACTCTCATTATCATGATCTCCATCATAATGACAAGTCTCAAAATTTAATTAAGGGCCTTATTAAGTTAATCAAGCAATTAATAATAACTATGATAAGCGAATATCAAATGCCATATATTTTTATATCAAATAACATTCACAAAAATATGTTCAAATCATCAAATATGAGATTGGATCTAGGGCATATCTAATATATCCTTAACAATCTACCACTTGCACTAGAGCCAATCGATCTTGTGCTTCATTCCCATTTTTCACTTGTGCTTGTCAAACTCCTTTGCTCCAAGAGCTTTAGTGAAAGGGTCTGCAACATTTTCCTTTCCATCAACCTCTTGAATCTCGACGTCTCCACGTTCAATGATCTCTCTTATCAAGTGATACCTTCGCAGAACGTGTTTGGATTTTTGGTGTGATCTTAGTTCTTTTGCTTGAGCAATGGCTCCAGTA